AAAATTTGAAATGTGAGAATTTGTTGCTTTTATCCCTTGTAGGGTATTTAAACAGAAGGACATAGAGTTATGGCCGATGGTGTAGTCCTACGGACACATTATGATAACATTGGAAGGTATGGTTTGGTAATAGGTTATGGTTATGTTAATGTGATGTGCTTTGCTTTTGGTAGGTTTTGGTTATCTTCTATTTTGAAATAGAGTAATGGAAGTAATGCTTTATAGTCCAAATAAACTGAATTTTTTGTATTATTAATCTTTTCATGATTTTTTGCATTATTGGAAATGGATTTTTCAATTACATGTTTTGTTGATTCAAGAAAAAGTTGTGTATTAATTCTGGAAATATTAATGATATATAAAAATATATCTACGTATATCTTTTCCCTAAAAAATTTCAAAAAAATATAATTGAATTTACGGATTAATCGAACATTTCTTGTTTTTAATATATGACCCATTTTTGACGATTCCCATTTTTTCTCATCGGATAAGGTGTTTTAGGTAGGACCAACTTTTAGTTTTTTATTGTCTTTTGCTTTTTTTTTTCTATTTGATTTTTTATTATTCTTGTTCTAGCAGTCAGATCGTTCATTTTTTGTTTGTTGCTGAAGGATTTATCCAATTTAGGAATGCGATTTTTGAGTAATGAATCTTTTTTCATTTTTTCTTTTATTCGATTCTTCTCTCAATTCAAATAGTCGAATTCGATTTACGTTTGACATTATTTTTGTTATTTTTTTTAAAAATAGAAATATTTCAACAATCCAATTGTTGTTTCACGGATTTTTTGTTTGAGTCTTTTTCAAATTTGAAAGCGGCCTTTTTGAAGTTTTCAATTTTTTTGTCGAGTTGTTTAAAATAGGTTTAAAAAATGCATTTGATTAAAAGGAAGGTCAGTTTTCAGGCCCACAAATGTTTAAAAACAAAACTCATCTATTCGATTTCGTTTTTGTTCGCTTTTTTTATTCGATCTTGATCAGACGGTTGTATTATAGATCAGACAGTTGAATTTGATTTTGTAAAACAGAAAAGAAATAATATGTTTATCTGAATACCATCTGTTAACCAGTTTTTAGGAAATTCAGTTTCTGATAATTGAACGCCGTTATAGGTGCATTTAACATGCATTTCGCTATTCCACTCTTTGAAATCATCCGACCACTTGGGTCGTTGGAATAATAACAGACGGGTGAAATTTTTTGCTATTATCAAATAGAATATATTTTCTAAGAATTGACTGAGTTATTAGCATCAAACCTCTTATTATTTGAGCAAATGGAATATATGTTTGGTAATAGTTGTAATGGTCATGTGGTTTGGTTTGGTTATCTTTGAATCTAGTTGTAATATCTTTGAATTAATGGTAATATGTGGTAATAGTTGTAATATCTTTGAATTTGAATTTGAAAAATAGTGATGGGATTAATGCTAATATGTGTGGTTTGTTTTGCAGCAGCCCAATGTTGTTTGTCGAGTGGAAAAGTTTTGTTATCTGGTCAAGAAGTTTTGATCAAAGAGACGGGAGCTGGTGGAAAGTATGGGATTTGGAGGGTTGTTGCATTTGGATATGAAAAATATCCCGAGGCAGTTTTGTTACTGGCTGATGAGTAGGGTCTTTGGTGATGGGACAGTTGTCTTTGGTGATGGATCAATTCTTCCGCTAGGGCCAAACCAAGTAAGGTCCATTCTTGGGATTCCTATGGGAAGGAAGGAAATTCCTCTTGTTCTTGGCGATGACGAAGACGACACCCAGAAGATTATGCGGGTGTTTGAACAATACGGTGTTGGTTTGAAGCGAGAAACTATGTCTCTCAATCTTGCAGCTGCAGCCATGTGCCCTGAGCATGAAGATGGTACTCTGGTGGAGTTGGAGACGGAAGTTGATGAAGAGGACTTTATGGTAGCTTTCCTAATTGTTTCCCTAGGAATGATAGTCTGCACGACGACAAACAGTTCAAACTTGGCTGCATCGTTGGTGCCCACATTGGTAGTTGCATTTGTAGCAGGAGAAATGATTGGTGCAAGTTCACAATTGACTGGGTGCGCGACTCAGCTGATCGATTTCAAACAAAGTTCCATAGAGATGGATTCCGTTTGGCTGTGGTGGGAGCTTGTGTTTCTTATGGTAAAGGATACCCTAAGTTTTTGGTTTTTTTAACGCTTTAAGAAAGTGAATGCTAATTAAAGTTAGTCGAAAATGCAGATTTTTTATTTGGATCACCTCCATCGTGTACCAAATAGATGGGGTGTATACCCCAGGCTGAAGGTTTGGGATTTTGACCATTTAAAAGCAGTTGTAGATGAAGGTAGGAGGTCTGATGAAGAGTTTGGCTTTTTGCCGGTGAGTGTGGACAAAAAAAGTTGTGATTAATCATTTATGGTGGGTTGCTAAATTGGAAATGAGATTGTTAACTGGTAGTTGTGTAACAGGTTCTTGACATTGCGTATGGGGAGGACCATCCTTTGGTTCCACGTGATGATGGAGATCTCGAGCTGGTGCACAGTAAAGTTGCTAATACTTCGGTGAATTCTATGGCGGATCAGGTAATTGCTTATACATCCTGTGTTTTGTTTGGTTATGGTGCATAGGATTGTTTGAGCTTGCTGATACATCCTGTGGTTTGTTTGGTTATGGTGCATAGGATTGTTTGAGCTTGCTGCCTTCTAAATAGGATGGTTTTATTTTCTGTCTTTGCATAGGATTAGTTCTATATGATTTTGATATGATTTTGATACCCACAATCTGTACACACTCAAGCAACCAACATTTACAAAAATTAACAATCCTATGATTAGTTATTAGAGTTGTAGTAGTGTACATGGGATATGGTTATGGTCCCACCATTTTTGAATGTTGTGTTCTTTTCCTTATTGGATCAGAAATCAAAATAAGGATTAGTTATTGTTATACATGAATGTTATTATGATGTGTTTTAGTCATCCCAATGAAAATATGGATGGTTATTAGTTTAAAGAGATTATGTTCACGTTTGTAAACATATTGGGCTTGATATATTTCGATGAATTATAACTTTCATGTGGTAATAATAAGTCAATTATTAATACTTTCTCTGTTATTTATGGTGGTTAGGTGCTTGCTCTATTAACTCCTAGGCTTGTTAGTCTAGTGGAGGCATAGTTGGTAGAGCATTAGCAGTAGTTCAAAGGCTGGTCAGCTTGATATGTATACTGTGAGCATGGGTAAAGGGAGTCAGCCTCGTCTTAGTGGGAGTAGTAACAAGGGTGCAAAAAAGTTGAAAGCACCCCAAAGAGAAGAACCCAGCTGAACAGAAGGAATCTTGTAATTCTAGCAATGGTGAAATTGTGATACGATGACTCGGGAAACAACTTTTGATAAGCGGTTGGAGACCTTTGTCAAAGGATGGAAGGATTTGAAGGATGAAAAGTAGTATGTTTTTTTTTTTGTCTATCCTTTCTACTTTCTAGCGGTTTATGTTAAAGTTACTTGAAAAATATTTGGTTGTCCATTTAGATAGTCTTCACTTTGTCCTTAATCAAACCTTGTAGATTAAAAAAAATATTTGGTTTTCCATGTAGACTATGTCCAATTTAATTGTTGTGTTTTGTAATGCAGGAGGACCGTCCATCATAGAGTGTGATGGAATGAATGCTACACAAAGGGACTGTTATGGTGTTGTGGGTCCTCGAGCCCGTCTTGGCATCAATAATGTGAGAATGACATCGATTTTGTACACAAAGTACTGGGGGACAGTTGAGTTTCTGAATCGGAGGAAATGGATTTTGATAGATCCTTCCTATGCAGTAAGTATATGATGTATGAGTTGATTTACTTGTCATTATTGGCATTATTTACTAACATTAACTTGTGATTTATGCAGATAATGATTAAGGCTAAGGAAAAGGATTATGCGAATCTTGCAAGGAAGTATTGCAAGCTGTTGTTAAGTAATCCAAATGATGATATTCGACTAGTATGTACCTAAGTTTTGTATTTTATAATATTAGTTTTTTGTAGCTTTGCATTATATGTTGCTTTGCAATAAGAGTCTGTAGCTTTGGGTATGCTTCATATCTTTAGTTCTTAGGTGTTATTCTCATGAAAATGAATTAGAAGGATGGCCCATTTACTATCTTGCTCTAAGAAAAAGTGGGGTTGTTGATTGTAGTAAACTTGATACAACATTCTGAATACCTATCTTAATCTTATGAGCATTAGTTAGTAACTGTACTTTAACTTACCAGACCAGGAGGTTTCTTATATATGAAGTATATTAAGGTCTTCAATGGTAATTCTAATAATTATTAGAACCTTGAGCGTTTCTTTGCGTGGCATCATACATGTTTTACATAACGCTTTCTTTTTTTCCATGGTTCTGTTGTGAGTGAAATTCATTCATGCAAGGTGCAATAGTACCCTTTTATTGTATACATTTAGCCTCTTAAAGTTCATTGATCAGGGCACTGTTGTAACTTGGAGGAAATGCATATATGAAAGTCCACCTTGAAATACTCAAAGCCAAACTACCAGGGAAAATACATATGCAGCCCTAGCCCTAGTACCCTGTCAGATCATCAAGGAGAGAAGTACTGAGATAGGCAAGCTAAAAATCATTTGAGCACATGTATTTTATAATGTTCGTTGTGAAACAAGTGTTTTTCCCAATGCTTGATGGATCGTCAGAGAACGGAAATGAACACTGGTGGTGCCTTTTCATTGATTTGGTGAAGAATCAAATCTGGATGATTGATTCATTATATCCGGATCCTTATGAACAACATTCAGAGCTTGTTTCTGAATTGGTTAGTAACTAGGCCACCCCACTGTTTGTGTTTTAACAATATAATTTTAAAATGGTGAGATTTTAAAATTTGTACCAATCGGGCAGGTGAAGGCCATTGATGTTCTTTTCCAATTGAATGATCCGTTTTGGGAGTTGGGACTTGTGAGAAATGGCCCAAGCATGTGGTGGGCATGGTGAAGCAGACGGATACATAAGTTTATTAGCTGTCGCATATAATGTCATACTACATTTTGTTCAATTCAACTAACCACATCTTATTAATGTATAGTTTCTCCTGTGGTATGCTAATGCTTGGTTGCATTAAGCATTGTGCCCGTAATGGTCCTGATACTAGTTACTCTCTGGTATGTTTATTGTATGTTTATTGTGTTGTAGATGGGTGCTTTGGTATTTTGTCCGGAGAAGAAGTTGTATAACAATTTTTGAAATCAGGAGAAGAACTTGAAGAAGAGGTTGTTTTTGGAGGATGCAAACAATTCTTGCAACGAATTATTAGCAAAATTTGATGAAATTCTGCCCAAGGATCGAGTCCGGCCCAGAAGGACATTGTCTTCTCAAAACACTTTGTAGTTGTGGTCAGTTAGGTATTTTTAGGTGGTGGAATTATTAGTTAATCTAAGGGAAAACTATTGGGGTATTTTTGGGGTGTGAATTAGAATATTTAGGTGGTTATTTGTGGCGGTGTGTTTAACCAAGTGGTTGGTGTTTATGTGTACTTTGTTGTTGTAGACAATGCAGGTTGCTTAGACTGTTTGTTGCTTAATAATTTGTGGAATTATTAGTTAATCTAAGTGGTTGGTGTTTATGTGTACTTTGTTGCTTTAGAACAAAAGGAAAACACAGGGAACACATACAATTCAATTAATTAATTAATAATTGATTTAAGTAAGTCTGGAAAATAAACTCCCACAAGGTTGATTCAAATTTCATAAAATAAATCTAGGTTTAAACAGTGATACAATTGAAATTCACTAATAGCTTTTGAAATACAAATTCATTTGTAACTTACTAGTAGCTTTTGATAGACCAATTTCATTTTAACTTACTAATACCCATAAAAACAATAATTCATTAATAAGTTACTAATAGCTTTACAAACACTCTTTAATTTCTAATTTACTAGTAGCTTTAACAACACCAGTCTCGAGCAATCAACAAGAGCAATCAACAAAACTCAAAACTAGACTCCGATGTCCACCCAACACCCTCAGCGGAGTCACTTGCCGCATTTGTCTCATACAAATGGAGTGCATGTTGTATGCGTCTGACATACTCAGGTGGGTAGTCATTGTAGGTGAATGGTTCAGCATTAACAAGAGATAAGTTAGCCATCTCATCAAATCCATTTTCAGACAACATTTGGCGTCGAAATGCAACGCGTTGCTCGGGGTTGGTTGTAATAGCCTCGGTTGGATCCTCTTGTGTGGAATTCAACCATTGATATGTCACTTTGATTCCTTGTTCATTAGGTGTAGTGAACCTCTTACCAGCAAGGATAACTCCCCACTCATTCCCCTTGCCAATTTGCTCATCCACATCCAACCACCAATCCTCAAGGTATTGAAAAAACTCAAAGAAACGTTTAAGGTAGGTGTGGTAAAGTGGGTACGCATAACACTCAGCTAGAGATCTCCTTAAGGCTCTCAAGTTGAAAGAGATGGATATCTTTGCAACATCGACTAAGTACCACATAAAACAAAAAGCCTCCTTACGGAAGTAACGTGCTCTACCAACCTTGAATAGAGTGAAAAAGGGTAATTTGGATGGAAATCTATACCTTTGATTGGTTCTTCTAAGCCACCCCTTGCAATCGTGGCTAGTTGATGACATAACATCATACGCTGGCTGTGTTTAGGCATGTACATATCCCTAATGATAACATTCGGATCGTGCACCCCGGTATTGTTGATCTTGGCGACCCTTCGTAATAGCTTCTTACGTTTTCGTTCCTCACGAGAATTAGCTGCACAACCGAAACAAAACATTTTTATTAGTACCACTGAAACATCATTTTAAACGTGTATGCATTTAAATTTACCGATTGACATATTTATAAGTGCCACTGAATGCAACCAAATACTACTTCATATGCCACATGTTGCACTTAGTAATATGAGAGGACCACTGAAATAGTAGGATAAGCCTTCGTAGTACCTTTGTTGCCCATAAGGTTGAGGTTCAACTTCTCTTTTACTTCTGGTTGTTTGTTATGAAATGTAATGGTAGTAACACTTGTAGTTGAATTATATAGACCATTAGTTGTTGTGGAATTGAATACATCCAACCACCTTTAATTTCACAATTAAAATCTACCTGTATTTAATTAGATAATTTACTTTTACAGTGTGGGTATTCATTTTCACAGTTGTACGTACTTTACCTTGCAATTCACTTATTAAAACCAACTACCCTTTACTTAAAAGTTAGTAAAATAAGAAAGTAATAGATGAATGTTAATAGACGGAAGGATAACGTTGTAGTAGCAAATAAATAGTTTATTATATCACATGATGCAGCTAAATGGTACCCTAAATCAACTAAATGGTTCTCCTACAGCAGATGAGTGGTACTCCCTTTTATACCGTAGTTAACCATAATGGTAATATTAGAGGTACCCTAGTTAATCTAAGTTAATCTTAATGGTAAGGTACCCTACTTAACCATAAAGGTACCCTAGTAAATCTTAATGGTACCGGAGTTTACCTACTTAACCATAAAGGTACCCTAGTTAATCTTAAAGGTACCCTACTTAACCATAAAGGTACCCTAGTTAATCTTAAAGGTACCCTACTAAACCATAAAGGTACCCTGGTTAATCTTAATGGTACCCAAGTTTAACCTTGATGGTACCCTAAGCTAACACAGCTGGTACCCTAGATAACCTTGATGGTACCCTTGGCGATCTTGATGGTATTCTTGTTGACCTTGATGATACCCTAAGTAACCTTGTTTGACTAGAGCACTTGAAGACCTTGGTATGTGATGTGGAACTGGCATCGCCTCCCTTCTAGGGAGTTGTTTGTATTTTTAACTACTAGCCATTCGCGGTACCATGACTTGGAATTCATGTCATGCTGGTTCGAAATGAACATCTTGTTTGAGACTTGTTGTTCCCATTTGTCTCCTAGTGATGCTTTAACTTCCCGACCTGAGGTGAAAGTTTTCAACAAGCTATTGTTGTTTTTGAAGACATCGATGACCTCATTAACCATAGCGAATGCAATGTTGTATGTAGCTGCTATATGTTTCATCTTTGTTGCTATTGACATTAATATTTGACCCCTCTCCCTGAATCCTCTTGCGGTGTTGTCATGAGCATGCCTGAACAAATATGCGATGGAGTCCAGTATAATAACCCTAGTGTGTCGGCATCCTTCGTGGGAGCTCAAGACAATTTGTTCCACTTGGTTCAAAACCAAAAAAATTTGATCTGGGTTGTCTATTTTTTTGACAAGGATCGATGACAAGGGATCTTCCCCCACAACCGACCCAAAAATACTCTTGCTCAGGGAGCTTAATCTGTTAGATGGAAACACTGGGCACGCTTGAATGTAAATTGACAACCCATAAAAACCTTCCGGAGGCATGAGCATGCAAGTTAGGAGCAACTGCAAACATATTTGTGTTTTGCCCACCCCACTTTCCCCATATATTTCAGTTAATTCGCCCGTTTGTATTCCACCATCTAAAATAAAATCTATGATCTCGCATTTGGTTTTTATTTTAGGTTTCATTTTCAGAAGAAGGGTGTTGTGTTTGGTAAAATCTAAAACCTATATTTATAATATATTTCGGATAACGTACCTTTTTTTTAGATCGTAAGAAGGAGTAGATTTGTATGGACTACAAGAGGATTACATTATCAACTAGCACACCCGAGGTGGTAACATTATCCGATTTAATTTTGGACTGTAACATTATCCGATACAAATTTGGACTTGCGTAAATGTTGTACAATTTCCAATTCATATTCCTAGAGCCAAGTGAATTGTGTTGTCATGTCAGTAAGACCTTAACTTTTTGCAGTTGGACTATTCTGACAAACAGTAACACCCAAGGATAAAGGGTAACTCCACTCTATAAAAGCACACGGTAACAAAATTTTACCATGGACATGTTTTTTTTTTTTTATTTATTATATGACTATCTTTCATTTACTGTGTTTTTTTTAATTTTTCTTCTTCTCTTAAATAAAAAGTTAACACCTTTTAAAAATATTTTTAAAAGTACATATTGAAAGCAAGTCTTCTAGGGTGATGAATTGTTAAATCAAATACTGATTTTGTTGTCAGATTGGGCAGAATGCTTGTTGAATTGAACAAAGTGGATTCTTAGTAGTGGGATTGTTTACAACTTCATTTGAATTTTGTCGTTTGCTCTGTGAAGCACTCTACTCCAAAACACTCTCATCCAAACAAAATTCATCCAGCCATGTCCACTCGCCTCAATAGCATACGCAACGTTTGGGGTCGGCTAATGCAGCCACACCCAATTGAACCCATCATGTACTTTAGCCCTTTCATAACCTCACTTGAACCCAAGCTCAATTTCAACAACCTAAACTACTATGCTGGGGAAGATTACTTCCTTAACATGGACCCGATACCGCTGAACGTTGTTCGGGAGCAACTTATTAAATCGCTTGACGATGAGACAACAACCTTCATCCCCAACAACATTATGGAGGTGAGTGACTTCGATGTACGGGCTGCTTACTATCCTACTTTGTCCGACCTAGAAGGATACCTCCACAAGGGTGTCCCGGTATTCGCACGGTGGCTATGTCAAAAATCATTGGATGTGGTGGGTGCTCCCTTCATACCCTTGGAGTTGATCCCTGTCTTCGATCGCAAGCCAATTGTGATGACCGACCATCTTCCTATCTACACCATTCCTCTTCATGAGAAACAAATATTCATAGGGTCTAAGACTTCTGCAATTCATGTAATTGAAGTCAATGTTAACATTACATTGGTTAGTTTTAATGTTTTCAGTTGTAAAACAACCTTAAGAGGGATTAAGTACCACCGTATCTCTGTGTGTGGGTCGAAGGAAGACATTTCGGGCGCTCCATATTTTCCAAGAGGTGCAACATTTATTGTGTGGAATGCTAGAAATGTCAACCGTCCATCTTTCAAAGAAACTTTCAATAAGCTATACAATGCTTTTTCCCCGGAAGTTTTGGTCATGACGGAGGCTAGAGCTGACGCTGCTTTGCTGGGGTACGTGAAAGATGTCCTTCAAGGGGTGTACTCGGTTGATGGTTTCGGGATGGTAAATGGGTACTACGGTGTGCTTGTAATTTGGCAAAAATCCGATGTTTATCCCTGGGTGACTTACAGGGGTGAGGCTAGGTACGGCCAGCAAATGGGTGTCGATTTTCAGGTATTAAGTTGTTACTTTCACTTATTATTTAATAATACTTGTTTCGAATAATTAAGTGTAGTAACATTTGTTTTAATCAATAATTGTCATTTTACTAGCCGGGCCGAAATTCCTTCCAAGCCCCGATCGACTCCACCCTGCATCAACTTGGTACGAAGACAGAGGGGGGAATGATGATGGAGCTGTGAATTCAGACAATGATCACTTGTCTATGTAGGATAACGCAAGTGTTGCGGGATTGAGCTACTATGTTATGTTACTATGTTACTATGTTAAGTACTATGTTATGTATTATTAGTGGGATGTGGAACTATGTTTAAGCTTTATGTCTAAGCTTATATATGTAAGTCATTATTATGGAGTACAATATTAATGTGTTATGTTTAAATTACTATTATATGAGGCAGAATTAGATTTTATTCATTTCTAAAGTGAACCACACCATGTTTTTAAAACCATTTGCTAGAAAAATTTGTAAAATTTTTAACAGACATATAAGACATGTATCAAAATAATTTAGAACTAGCATAAACATTATTTTTTTAATTTTGTTCAAATTTGAACCACAACGAACTCAAATACAACTAACACATTATTTATAAAATTTATACTTCAAATTAACATACGAACTACCATAGCAGCCACAAAGGCCAGTATTACATATTTCATAGTAGCAAATTTTTTTTCAAGTACATCAATCCTTTTCGAAATCTCCATGAAACCATTGTTGGTGGTGCTTCTAATTAGATCCTCCTCCCTTGCCTATTGCCAAAAATTACAAGACCTGCAATTGTAGTATGGTCGTCTTGGATTAGCCTCGGATAGTGAGATACGGAACTCCGAAATTGCTTGACCCCCGCAGTTACAACGCAATCAATGTCGCCGGAACCAATTACAAAATTGCTTCCACGGCCAACTGAAGAGGATGTCTTCAAAGACATGTTTTTCGTATATCCAAAGTCGATGTATTCCTTTTAGTAACTCAATAGGATATGTGTATTTATAAGCAAAGGGAAATGAAAGAGTTTATAAGTCCTAAAATATTTTTGGCGGTGAAAACACCAAAAATTGGCGCGTTTCGAAAAGAATATGGGCCTGGGAATTACGTGGGCTTCAATTGGCCTAATTAATAACACCCATTTCTTTTATGAAACTGTAATCAGTATAAGTACCACTGGAGAAAAAACTAAAAGTTAATTTATACCAAACAATATCATAATGCGACTCTAAGCACATGTCAGTTCAACATGACAAATTTTCAGTGGTACATGTTTTATTTACAATGGTACAAAAGAGGAACTTAATTCGACGTTTATTTGATGGATAGTTAACATTACAAAATTAACCATATGAACAATAACCACACAAACCCCCCCCCCCCCCCCTCTCCTTGGAAAAAAACACCTAATACATAAAATTTATATAAAACTTTGTAACCACCGTTAAATTTAGGACCATCAATGTAGTTCTTTACAAACATACAAAGAACAAGGTGTATCCAAATGTTGTTGGTGATAATATTACAATGTAGTTAATTACAAGATTACATTTCCCATCTTTTGTATTTTCATCCTATCATCGTCATAAATGGTTGTTGTACTGTTTGTGACCTTTATGTTAGTATAATTAATAAAAAAAATTAATACAAACAATAATTATTAGAAGAATTACATGTTTCATGTAATGGTTTTCCTCTTAAAAAACTGAGTATAACCCTAAAAATAATTAGTGGTACCCTAACATATATGAAAGGAACACTTGTTTGACTCAAAGGTAACCCTTCAATAATAGTTGGTAACACCAGTGCATCAATTATTGGTATCAGTGTCACGGTTACGTACCACAACATTAGGTGTATTCAAATGGTACTCTACAAAATTTTAAATGTACCCTAAATTAATACAGTGGAATAATTATGAATACAAGTATACAACGAATTCCCTTATGTCTATTTCTCTAGTTTCAGTTGCAAAATATAAATTGACGTCTCAAAATAATAAAACTATTCAAAACCATTTTTTAATTTAGGGTCCCAACGTAATTTAATAATTATTCATATGCGGTCAACAATGACAACATATCATAATAAGTAGGACAATACAAATACAAGATTTTCTGGAACTAACAAAAAGATATACTTTACTTTCATTGATTACGTATTAAGTTCATGCGATGTTGTGAAAGACAATCATGTATTTCTTTGATAATCAAAGTGATGTGTCTATCATCTTTGACAATCATGTTTGTGTCGATGATAGTGTTATGTAAGGAGTGATGACACATCACTTACCCCATAATGAAATCATTATACAATTATTTCACTAAATTATAATCCACAATTTCATTTTCCCTACATTTTCATCTTACAAATATGATGATACCCTAGGTGGAGAAAAAGGTACCCTTATGTATGTCAATCATACCTTTATGTATGTCAATCATACATTAATTAAAAGTATGTACAATTAGTACCCTACCAAAATACAGGGGAACCCTAATAAATTTCAGTGGTTCTAAGATCCTAATAAAGTTCAGTGGTACTAACATAAATCTACTAGAGGAAACTAGTATCCTCATACGGAATGTTACAATGTAAGTCCATCAAACTGAATGTTACAATGTAAGTCCATCAAAACGAATTAATACTTCAACTTAAGCCCTTTTTTACTCATATATGTTAGTAGTTTACAATTAAACATTTCAATTGTTTAGTGAAACTTTTAAAAGTTTAGATTGGACATTTTTGAAGTTCAATGGAACAATGGTGTCCATTGAACTAAATACCACAAAGGTCGACCGTTCAGTTGAACCTTTAACGCTTTTGGAGGAACAAGAGAGTAGTACAGTTGAACCTCACATTGAACCTGACATTCTTATGATACCATTGTTCCAGTTGATGCTTTTAGCAGTACAGTTGGACCTTTGAACAATTTAGGAGTAAAGTTGAACATGTTACAAGTACCTTTGAACACTTTTGGTGGAACAAGAGTCTTAGGTCGGAAAGTCCTTTAACAAAAACATATAAACTTTACTAAACCATACAAAATTATCTCCCGCTCCTAATCTCATCATGTTTTCAACCATATAGTTTGTATGATTCAACTTTAGAAATCAAGTATACACCATCATTCAACTTGCTTCAATCTCGCAACTTTAGCCATGCAACGAAATAATAATTATATATTTTCATATTTAATATAATCTATTACTATATACTTCCATTTTCCAGAACTGAAATAATTATCCAATGTAAGGAGATAAATCATCAATATCTGTAATGAACCTAGTCCAACATTAAGTTTTACATTATATCAAAATATTTAAATTTTCTTTACAAAAAATGCCAAGACATATACCCACCAGCATACTCACAAGTTATCAAAATATGTAAGTTAGAATTTCTTTACAAAAAATAGACCTGAAGGAAGATCATTTTCCCACAACATAAAGCCCAACTCAACTAAAATAACAGGCTCTTCAATTCACTTCAGGTGGCTGTTAGACAACTAACTCTACCCACATCCCAGCAATTCTACACAAAAAGGGTGGGGTCCTTGCTACACACAAAGCTACTGTGTACTGTTGTTAGACCGACCAAAGTGCGGAGTTTTACTCAAACTTCCAGGAGTTGCGCAATTTGCAGGCCTGAGCTGGTACGGGAACTGAGACATGGCCGTATTAGGCGACATATAACCATCCATTTGCATCGGAAATCCCTGCATTTGACAAAACTGTTGGAACGCCATATAATATGGGGGAAAAAGGGGCCTTTGAGTTGGAGAAAAAGCAGCCCCAACAGAAGGAGGACGCTGAACTCCAGACAACGAAGTGAAGTAGCCCAAAGACCCATCCCCATCTTTCATTTGAATGCCTCCAACACAATGTGGACTGTAAGCCATCATAGGAAATGAATGTTGTTCCTATGTACATAATGAATAACGAATCAATAACACATACACCTGCTAACTTCAACTTTACATAAATTTATGAGTTATTTACCTGTGGAAACGAGGATTGTGGGTTGTTAAGACTACCCCCACCAGCGGCTGTGACTTGTTTCTTCTTACCCGGTTTCTTCGATTTTTCAACACAAGTCTTGTACCTCGAATCTGTAGTACGGTGAGGCGGTTTCTTCGGAATTGGCGGGTCCTTTATGGTAGCAAGTTGTAGAGACAGGTCCTTCGCACAACTGCCTTGCTTTTCAGTACGAGGTGGTGGAGCCTCCTTTTCCAAACACACGGAGGATGGTGTCCCATTACACCCCATAAGATCAGATCTATTCCTGGTCATCATGGACATTTTCTCTTCAACTTGGATATCAAGCAACTGTAGACCGTTTAACACAACAGCAAAGGCACTCTTGCAAATCGATGCCTTAGAACAAATAGGAGAAAACTTCAGCATCATCTTATCAAATCTACACACCGCCTCCGTCTTACTCGGATCATGGTACTTCACTTTCACTCTAGTGTGCTTCCTAATAACATTTTTCTGCCAACGACGAAGGATGTACTTGTCGGGAATTTCTGTACAATCATTCATTTGGTACACCATAATCATATGGCGACACATGATACCATGGCAATGAAAGTACCTGCATTCACAATCTGCTTCTTTCGTGCTTCTATTGTATGTAACCTTGTACACCCGTTTCCTCTGCGAGGGAACTTCTTTTCTTGAATTCTTTGGTTTGAACCAAACAATATCCTCAAGAACATGTCCTATAATTGTGTCAGATAATTGCCTCTTCTCCAGACCCGTCACATATAACAGCCTACTACACTCCCTTTGGACTTCTTTGAATTTGGCATCGGTTAAATTTTGCGAAACACAGACTCAGCTGGAAAGGCTGTCATGGGTTGCCTAACAAATCTGGAATTGTTGTCATCGGCTCTTTTCTCACTAATAGCTCTAACCTCCAGAGCTTCACAATATCTCTCCACAAATTCACTAAGCAATGTATGCCTGCTCAAATAACCATCGAAGAAACTATGTATACTCTCAACCCTTTGGGTTGTTTTCATGCCGGCCCAAAACAGATGCTTCACGAAAGCAGGTATCTACATATGGCGTTCACCATACAGGCCTAAAAACAGAAGGTAAAAGGCCAGAAGGTCAAAATTGCATACGACAAACAGTAGAAAAATTAGGCATCAAGATATCAGGTCCTATTCCAGAATTATATCACAATTACCAGATAAAAGCCACTATAAATGAAATTTTACCGAATTATTAACACCATTAATGCTGATTTCGGAGACAACAAAAATAAAGGTACAAAACTAAAATTACCAATCACATAAATAATAACCTCATACCAGATAAAACCCACTCAATATCAACCTACTTCAACCATATACTGAAAATTATAAATATAAATTGTTAAGATGGATAATGGATAAATAACCATTTAAGTTCCTTAATATGATACATAACCATTTACCATGTCAAGATGACACATAACCATTTAATTATATATATAACATAATTGACATAAATTGTGGCCTTTACTCATTTAGCTACTACTACTTAATGGAGTTGTTATAAACAATGACAAAGTCGATTTATTAGACTATTACGTATTCATGATCTCTTTATGCAATATTTGTTATATACTTCACATTTGTCTGATAAGTATTTGCCTAATTTTAGCCTCTCAATATTTACAACATGAGTTACTTACAAACTCTTCACAAACCAAGTAATTAATATTAAAGACTTTATAATAAATAGTAAAATGACACAAAAAATTTCAGATTTTATACAAAACCATCTAACCTTCCAACCACTCGTCCATTTCACATTTGTGTTTCTTGATCACTTCTTGCCACCGTCTTTCAAACTCTTCACAATCCAAACTATCATACACAACACTCTCTAACTCTTCCTTCAACTCAGGATATTTCGGAACGCTTCCCTAGTTTTGTAGAAAATTTTTGCAAAATGTGCCAAATACACCATCTGTGTGTAGTCCTTTCATTGTAGTCTTAAGCGCTTTCCTCATGGAAGGGTCCTGGTCTGTAAGTATTGCAACAGGGGTTTTGTTCTCCATACAACGCAACCAATTGCTAAACACCCACTCAAAAGTCTCAGCGGTATCTCTACTGACAAGCGCGCATCCGAAAAGAATGGTTTGGCCATGATGGTTAACTCCCACAAAGTTGCAAAATGGTAACTTGTACTCGTTAGTCAAGTAGGTGGATTCAAAACAAACTACATCGCCAAACTCCTCGTATGCCATGCGACACCTTACATCTACCCAAAGTACATCCTTCAACCTACCCTCTTCAACCACTCGATAAGTGTTAAAAAAATTTGGGTTATCTTCAACCATACTTTGGAAATAGGTAAACATTGCTTTAGCATCACTTTCTTCAAATATTTTTTTCTTCTGCTTTGCCACTTCTTCATGTAGATCTTTCTGGGCAAAGGGCATGTTCTCCAACCCATTACGCTCCCTGGCCATTTTGTTATAGATTTTTGCCACGGGAACCCCGCATCTCCTTTCATTGAAAAGCTGCCTGACAACATGAGGATTCTCAACCAAAAACTTTTTCCTCAACCTACTTATATTCTTAGCCTTCCCTGGAGTGGGGGTGTGTCCAACATGCTTCATATGTGCCCTTTGAACAACCCATTCACCACGTTCATTAACATTTGCATACACATTCACAGGACATTGAACTTTCTTACTCCTCCTCTTCACACCGACCACTTCATCCTCAACAATCTGAGCATCAGTCACTAACTTATCCTCCACCTTCCTCCGCTTCCTATTAGGCAACCCAAAGCACTCACACGTCCACAAACAATTCCTTCTCATTTTTGCGTTAGCACCTTTCCCTACTTTACAAGCACTTGTACGAACTACCCCAAATCCATTTTGCTTCCCATATTCCCTAAAATATTCATCAAGTTTCTGCCATGACTGGAAGACCATCCCAATTGAAGGAGGAGGAAGACCAACTTCTACTTCAACATACTCCTCTATCTCAACAGATATTGCAACACTACTAAAGCCTTTCTTGGGAGTCTTATAAGACTCTTCACCAACCACAACCTTTCATTGAAATACCCAAATAATTGAAAAGAATTAAAATTAACAACAAACACAAATATTTGATTACCATACCCATGTACCAGAGAACTACATCAAAAACATCTAACATACCTTACTTTCTAATAACAAATAATAATTTATGTTAATAGTCAATTTATGTTAGCTGCAATTCACTTATTAAAACCTTCCGTCTATTAACTATTCATCTACTTTCTTATTTTACCAACTTTTAAGTAAAGGGTAGTTGGTTTTACAAACACAAATAATTGATTAACATACACATACATCTAACCCAAACAAAACATACAAGTGGTTCAAAGTTACTTACATTCGATTTGCTTCAGAAACTTTTCGGTTCTCATACATGTATTTTCCATCAATTAGATAGCACAAACAAAGGTGGTCTGAAATTATAATAAGGAATTTTGAATTTTGTGAATAAATTCAATTGGATTGAAAGGCAAACAGCTTCATCATGTAATGATGAATAAAAATTAGTAGAATATCCTGAATGTCATCAATAATTTTTTCACTTCTGGTTGACACGATTTAGTTTTACTTGTAAGGTTTATAACTGGTGGCACTTGTCAATTAAACACTAAATTGCTTTATGTGCCTAATCAAGTGGTTCAAAGTTCAAACCTTCCAATATGCAAAGTTGTGGACCTAGTTTGACATTCATGAATTTGCAGTACATTAGATGATTAGAGAAGCTTTTTTTTTTTTTTTTTTTTTTTTTTTTTTTTTTTTTTTATTCTGGGGTTTGTTTGGTGCATTAGTTAGAATTGCATTGTCTTCAGATTTAACTTTCAATTACTACCTGCTTTGTCAAAGAACTACATCAAATACATCTAACCCAAACAAAACATACATAATGCTAATACCCAAATGACAACCCTCTACCAATTTCATTTTCCATTTTTATTGTCAATTCCAAATTCAATTTTACACTCCTATACAACCCTATATTGATTAATTTTTAATTAGAATAACAAAAGATTAACAATAATTCACATTTCTTAGCAAAACTTTGGTTAGCTCAATTAATGTTCAATTACAATCACTAAATTATAAATTTTTCGAATACATTTATAAAAAAACCCTAACATTTCATAAATTAATTTCCGATTACTATGCCCATATACGGTTAGTAATTAAATTCTTACCCCTTTCATCAACTCCCTTAAAGCAGCACCGTCGCACGACTCTTCGAACTCATCTCCGCCTACACCGCCTCCATCAATTACCACCTCCACACCATCATCGCCGGTGTTACTAACGACACCGCCGTCGTCAGTAACACCATCCATTGTATTAATTCGACAAAATGAACAATTGTTTTTTTACAGCTCTCCAATGGTGTTATCAAATATTAACAGAAGGAAGAAGAAAGCTGAGTTTTTTGCTTTTCCAAATACTCAAGTTGAAGTACACTTTTCTTTTTTGATGAAGAAGTTGAAGTACACTTTCTCTTTGAGCTGTCACTTTCTTTCCTTCTTTTAATTGGGACCACCTCCTTGTTCTATTTTTTTACTATTCGTTATCTTTTCCCTCCAAATACCAGCCCCGTTTTACTTTATTTTCCACTTAATTGCAAAATTGCCATTGTGAGACATCTTTTACTTGTCTCACAACCCTGGGTTTTTACTTCCTCGAGAAAATACACTAATACATCTCCAACGGGCTGACCAAAAGTTAAACAAGTGTTGATGTGGAATTCCACTCACCTGATCAAACACCCAGTGAAATTACCCCCTGTAGACTTCTTCATGCATAACGAAAGTCCATTAAGACAAGCTCGATCGATTGACCCTTTGTAGTTATGTCTCAACTTCTTATAAATTTTTTTATTTATTAATAGTATATTTTGAGGGCTGTTTAAATTTAATTTGTTCTAGGTTACAATAATATCTCCCTCGAAAGAAAGGGTTTATCTCCTTCGAAAGACAAGGTTTTTTCGATCTCCTTCGAAAGACAAGGTTTTTCGGACTCCTTCGAAAGACAAGGTTTTAATTGTGTTTAATTTGGTCTCTGGTTGTGCGGGGCTACTATTGATTATGGCTCGGATTCGGGTTACGGGCGACGACAGATCCACTCAAAAAGTTGTATGAGACAACGAACCGAGAATGCCAAATTGTTATATTTATGTATTTGGATTCTTAGCCCTTCTCTGATTAATTCTTGTTTGATTTTGCTAAATTCGTTTTCATTATCGTTAATTGTCAATTGTAGATGTCGTATGACTATTATCAATGAAATTTAATGTTCTTTAGTTCTTCATTCAAAAAAAAAAAAAAAAAAAAAAAAAAAAAAAAAAAAGTAGTTTAAGAGAAATTGAAAATGGGGGTGAATGAAAACTACCGACGGCTAAGCTAAGTTATCGATACTTGTCAATGTTATCATGCATGTGAGCACAGAGAGAGCTCTACCAATCACTATAATGTGATCAGCTGCAAATCTGCAATATTTCACAACATTAATATTCAAAAGATCTACCCTTTTCTTCTTCAATTCCATTACAAACCCTCTTTCAATTCAAAAATTCAATCTGTTCTCCAAATCAATTTAAATTGCTCTTTCATTTCTGAGATCTTTGACTTCTTTATTCTTACTATCCTTTTACATCACATTCCTAAATTTTCTGCTTGCCCCATCAAATTAGTAATTCAGTGAAACAATTTTTTACTAGATTTTCTCAAATTTCCCAACTTTTTATTTAGTGTAATTAGATAATGAGGCGGAGAAACACCAGCTTTGGGCGGCAGAATAGGCGGCGGTACTCGAATCTAATATGGTTGGTGTTGTGTGGATTGGTTGTGTTGTTGTTTTTCATTGTTCTTCTCAGCAAAGATAATCAACCCATGTCAAAACCTGCTTTGGCAAAGGTAAATTTTCTGATTTTTTTTTTTTTTTTTGGTTGATTTTTCTTGGTGGGTTTGATTTTGCTGACATTTTGGAGTTTCTTAGTATTCTGGGTTTTTTTTGTATTGTTAGATTATCTTATGTTTCAATTGTTGATCTAATTAATCTCTATTATTGTATGTATACCTGGGCCTTCTATGAAATGATTTGAATTGTGGAGTTTTTATATGGGTATGTTGATTTGTTGGTTTTGTTAGACAGCAAAATGTACCTTTCTAGGTGGGTCTATAAAGAACATATGACAGTGATGTAGATGGATTTCGATCCTGGGTTTTGGGTAATAACTGTCAAAGACTCTACCAACTAAGTTAAAGGCATTTGTTATTAATGGTGATGATTGGAAGAATGTTTGGTAGGTTAGACATAGTTGAGTGCGTGACAGGATTAGTTGAGTTTAGGAATTACTGCATATCTGTTTGGGATGCTGGGAAATGGTTCAGGGCTTTGTGAGGAAGACTCTACCAACTAAGTTAAAGGCATTTGTTATTAATGGTGATGATTGGAAGAATGTTTGGTAGGTTAGACATAGTTGAGTGCGTGACAGGATTAGTTGAGTTTAGGAATTACTGCATATCTGTTTGGGATGCTGGGAAATGGTTCAGGGCTTTGTGAGGAAGTTGAGGAAGTAGTGTGTATGATAGGATTACTTGTTGAATGTATTAATCGAAACACTGAAATTTTTGCTCTGAAGTTGGTTTAGATCTGCATATTTTGTGCTGGACATAAATATGTTTTCTCAGAAGTTGGCAGTGGTTCTTCATCATCTATAAAGTAGATCTATATTCTTTTGTTTCTATGAACTGAGCTGAGCTCTGTATCGGGTGCTTTTATGTCCCTTAGGAGAGTTAAGGCTCGAAAACTGGATCCGACAAAGGCGCCTGTACCTGCAAAATGAACGGAGCTCCGAATGGTCGGAGGTCCGCCTCCAAAGATTAAGTTAGTATAGATTCGAAGTAAAACGTGCAGAAAGTAGGTATCTTCTCGGATTTCGAGATAAGGTGTTCTCTATTTTCGAGAGCAATAAATGTCCTAATGATTAAGACGTTAAGTTTCAAGGTGCCCTAATAATTGGGGGAATCTCCCTATTTATAGAGTCCTAGAAAAGTGTGCTCTTTCCTAGCGTTTGATGACCTAGGAGTTAGGGCAGCGCCCTTTTTCGGCTACGTTGGGATTTAGGCCGCCATTTCTCAGGTGCCATATCTGCATGACATGTCAGCAGGGAGTCCATTTGGACGCCTCTTGGAGTGACACGTGTCACATGCTCATTGGGCCACTTGGTAGGGTATAAATACCCAAATCAAGCTCAGTAGTGGGCATTTAATGGTAGTAGTAGGAATTGATTAAAGGACACTTGTTATAGGCGGGTGTACTTGTATAATATATGATCCCTTTTACGTGATACCTTTGATTCGGGGGTTATTTTGTATGGGTAGCAAATGTAGAGGTATCTATCATAGTCTTCCGGTCATTGATTTTCTTGGAGTGCTGCAACCTTATATGATTTATTTATGAACGATTAAAACAAACAAGTTTATGGTTATGCTGCACCTTTGGATTTCCAATTTTCCATAATGAATACTGTCATCTACTCATCTTGCTTATTATGGTTGGACATTGTGGTTTGAGTCCTTGAGGCTTGGTGGATGTATGCAACTACTGCATGATAAATAATATTGTCACTTTGTTCTTTCATCATCTAGCAGTGGAGTTTAAGTATATTTTATCTTACTGCAAGTCCGTAAGTGCTAAATTTGGGTTATTATTGGTAGACTTGTTTAGTACGGAGTACCAAATAATTACAAACTAAGCTTTTTAGTTGAGACCAATCTCTCTAGTGTTTATAAACATAGTAAATTATTGAAACCTGAACAAATAAGCAATGTGGCTATTGGAATTCATAGATCTGAATGAAAAAAAAAAGTGAAATTAAATGAAAGTACAAGTATTAAAAGCAATCAGCAAGTGAATAACCATGCCATTAAATCAAAACCTTGGATTCAAGCAATGGCCACATTGTTCAATTATTGACAAATACTTAACCAAATCAAGTTTTTGTTGTTACTTTGGAGGATCCTGATCCAATTTTAGCTTCTAGGCCTCTTCAGTCTTAAAAGTGTATTTAGCTCAATTGCTTTTCTACGTTCATGTCAGTTTGAATTGGCCAATAAGATCTTTGCATAGTGCAATTGAATCCTATGAACTGTTTCCTAATTATTTTATTACTGATGTTCCTCATATCTTATTTCGTAACTTCATCTCTCGACTTTCTTATCTTCATCAAGCAATCCAAGTTCATACTTAAACTGCATCAGATTAATAATAAAAACACGTATCTGCATAAAATAAGTAATCAAAAAATATATCTGTAATAATACTTAAACTGCATCAAATTAATAATCAAAACAAGAGTACCGACATAATTAAAAGTATAAAACACACTTAAATTGCATCAAATTAATAATCTAAACACTTATCTGTTATTTGATCAAGTATAGCCTATAGTTACTCTGTTGGGCTTCGTCCAAACAAGGGTAGAGGTCTAGTCACGTATGCTGCAACAACTGAATTTAATCATGACCTACATCATTTTTCATCTTAATTATCTTAAAAAAAATCAATAACGAAGTTTAATAAAGAAGCCATTGAACCTTTCATGAGTATTTGATATCTATGTTACTTGAATATTTAGTTACACCTTAAGTACTAGTTTCGAATTCTCTACACTTCGACAATTCATTTTGGGTAAAAAACATTAATTACTTTTTTCCACAAAACAGCCAAATTGAACACTTTGACATGCACACGAGTCGGGCATGAGCATCGGGGGTGGTTCTGAGCAGGGTGGTCGATCGCACAGGCTCCTAAGTAAAACTAATATCGAAGGATTCTAGTTTTTGAAATTTACTTATACAAAGTAAAGAGAACTTTTTAATCAATAATATGTTCTTCAATTTTATCACAAAACTTATAATTTCGTAAATATTTTTCATCAAAGAAATGATTTTAGGGCCCAATTTAACAAAATTGCACTGGGCCATTTCCCGTGTTAGCATTTGTAGCCCGCCTCTGATGACCCAAGTCAATGCTAGAACCCTTAAAAATAATGCCAGTGATTTTCCTCTCTTTCTCTCTAAAACCTACTTTGTTTGACTAAAATCTTCATTGTTGTCCTTGTGAGTTGCTTGGTTTTATAATCAACTGACATAACCAACTCAAAACCTAAAATTTTTTCAAAGGGTACATCCATGCAAAAGTGCACTTGTAGGTCATGGTTTGAAGCTTTGAACATTGAAATCTTGAATACAGGTGTGATAACAGTCGTGAAACGACTTTCACCTGCAATTTAGATAGTTTGCGGTCATCCCAGTCTAATATCATGGTGTATAAAGTTCAAGAACCTCTACAATTCGATGGATGTGACCAAGATATAATACCATGATGTATATGTTGTACACTTTAATGTGAATATAAGGCTAAAATAAGGAGTGTATGAGAAGGCTGGTAGGGCACATATGTAAGTTAGACTCCGAATGACCTTTACCCTATCCATACTAATCACCAACAATGAGAACAATTGTTAGAGAGCTGAAATTTATGTCTCATAGAGTCTTAGTAGAATCTTCTTCTATTGATATGTAGTTTTCAATCTGTAGCTCTGAAATTTATTGCATTTTTCTTTCTTTACTTCATCTTGTCACCTTTTCTTCATTATTTATTTATTTATTTTTCATGAAAGTATCCATGAATGATACATATAAAAAAAAAAAAAAAAAAAAACTGGGAAATAGCGATGTGATTCTCAATCAAGAGAAAAAGGTAATGAGTGTTGAAGGTGTCTAAGACTCAAAATAGTGGATAAAGTTAATGTAAATAACATTGGTGAGAGAGCAAACCAGAAAAATGAGGTGAAAATCATGTATACCCCATATATGGAATTCTAGAACATTGGGGATTGCAATTTTCTTTTTAGGCTTCTTATGATGAACTATGCGACTCAAACATGGGTTGCATCAAGTGTAAGACATGTCAGGGCTCAACATTTTTGGAACAAGGATATTTGTTCCAAAATTGGATAGTAGTGACTGCATATATGTAGATAATTTTTGGTGAATACCTTTTGCTTTTATTTTATTTTATTCAAAAATAATATAAATAGGCTTTTGTACACATTTCAAAGTTACTTGTTATCAAGACAGCAAAGCCTTGCTAGGATTCTGATTTCAAGCCCATCTATGAGCATATATCATGTATAAGTCTCTCTTCTATTTCCTTCTAAATTTACATATTGCGCAACAACAAATTGAAGAATTGTGTAGAGATTTCATGTATGTGCGCTCATGAAGAAAAGATGGATCATAGATTTGTAAATTGAATATTATGTTTGTTGAGGCTAGCTGAGCACAATGGATAAAATGCTCACTTTTTTTGGCAGAATGCTTTCCTGATTAAGAGTCCAGATCCATCTCCTCTTTTGTTCTTGTCCTGCCATTCTGCCAATTTTCCAAATTGTACCTGAAGCCTAGATTTTAGTGCCATATCAGCCAAAGACTTGCGGCATTCCCATTATTTTGTATGAATGGGTAGTCATGTATATTATGAGATGATTAATTGTTTTTTTGAAATTATGTTATGTATATGGTGCTGTCAAACCAAATTTTACAGATATGAATTTGCTGAAGTGCTCATCGGTTGGCTGGCACTAGTTTTGGCTAAAAACTGTATACTATTTGAGAGTTGGGAAGGTGGATGTAATCTTTAGTTGGTTTTGAACATTTAGAATGTTGGTTAGGGTCAGATAAAGAGGCAACTCTAGTTACTTGTCAGGACTCAGGAATCCTCATACTGGGATTTATCTCTAAATTATATATGTGGCTAATCAGTTTCTATTATAATTCACTTGAATATTCTCTGTAAGTTTTTCTTTGCTCTTATTGCTTGTCAAATACTGGATACTCTTCGTCTCTGGATTTTCAAATGCATTATCAACTTTGCATCTGCTGTGAAGTCATCTATGTTCCATCAGTGATTTGACCATTGTTTGTGAATTGTGCTTCTGGCATCCAACTGAAGGAGTATAGCAACTTATTCAGGGTAATTTGTATTAACTTGGTTATTGTTCTTATATTATGTCTGTCATTGGTTTGTAACTCAAGTCCTATCATTGGGATTGGTATATGTGGAAAGAGAGGTGCAGACATCAGAAATTCAGAATATTATCAAGTTATACTCTTTCAGTAAAATACAAGTTCTGCTGAGTCTTACACAATTTCTGCTGAGTCTTACACAACTTCTGCTGAGTAATTTCCCGAGTCTGCAGGGGCATTCCTTATAACATATGGTTTTAGTTCCTCTCTATTTTTTTTACCTCTTTGTAACTCATATTGGTGGGAAATGCTGGATTCTTCAGAAGGACCCGACATAGATTTGTCAGGTTCTCATAAATTCTGCTGTTTGTTTGAGGTTCACACTTCTTCACACACAAGATTTATGTTTATTATTTGGTGACATGAAATTGGTGGAGCAATTGAACGGTTGAGTAATGGGGTTTGTTCTAATGTTGGATAAATGTTATTGAGTCTGCCATGAAATATTCCAAGGTTCCCTCAATATAGTTTATACTGAGAATTAATTTGTGGCACAATATAGCTTAAAGTAATGTCATGAGATACCATGGGTGTTTTATAGGAAAATCCCGAGCTTAATTAGATTTTTTCAATAAGCATATTATACAAAAAAACCAGATTCCCCCATCTCCATGTTAAGGTCTTTCTTTTGGAGATCTCTTATCGCTAAGAGGATGGGGATTGTTGCTCAAGTAATAAAGTATTCCTAGGTTTCTCCGGCTCCAAGACAATAAAATTTCTTGTATTTGGATAATGTTCAGCTTTCTTGTATCGAGGAGAAAATATGTAACTCATGGTCTATGTCTGTGCTTGAAGTTGTGCCTGCATATTGAAAGTAAAAAAATTGATTATGTAAAAGTTTATACAAATTCGCTGAGGTGCCTGAGGAAGCTTCTGTAATCTTTGTAGTTTAATATGTTTACAATGTGGCGTTCAACACTTGCTTTGTAGTGTTCGGTAGTTATAATCTGTGGATGGAATCAATGCTCTCAGCCTCCCATTATAAATATCAAAGCTGCAATGAGCAATTTTGAATGCAGGTTGACTAGCCAACTGTTCTTGATTGATGCAGTAGTTAGCTTATTTGAGTTGTACAATATGTCCTGTTTTGTCCTTCCTCTATTGCATACTTTGTTTGTACCTTGTGTAATGAAATAAATTGATGTAAGATATTCTACAAATAGAGAAGATTAGGGATTGGAACATTGTCACTAATCTGTCCAGTAACATCATTTGAAAAACACAAGCATTCGAGAGGCTTGTATTCTCTCAAAATACGAAATAAAAATTGAAGAGAGCTCTTATCAATATTCCTCATGAATTCCCTTTCCCTAATCTTCTCTTTAGTAAAAAGTTCTCGCTAACCCTAACTTATTCCCCAAGCTACCCTTAATAAAGCTACAAAGGTACTGCTTAAAGTGCCCCTTACCTTTACATCAATTCATTGCATGTTTCTTCTATTTCGTACATCTCTTGTGAAAATAAACTATTTATTGATTGATGGACTACTTGGCAATTTGGCATATTGATTTGTGTTTTATGTCCAAATTTTTTTTTTTTTAAAAAAAAACAAATCCTTTTATTGCTGACTTTGTTTGTGCCTTCTGCTTCTTCTGTTCCTCCATAACTGTCGTTTTTGAAATCCAAGCTTCTTTAATGTTATTCTGACTTCTTTCTGTGTGATGCAGAGGTCTTTCAGGCAAGATAGAATTTTAGAAGGCCTTAATGTTACGGAGGAGATGTTGAGTCCAACTTCATTAACAAGGCAGCTGAGTGATCAAATTGCTTTAGCTAAATCACTTGTTGTGATAGCTAAGGAAAGCAATAACCTACAATTCGCCTGGGAGCTAAGTGCTCAGATTCGCAACTCACAGATCCTACTTTCTAATGCTGCCACAAGACGAAGCCCGTTGACAATCAGAGAGTCTGAAACTGCTATTAAGGACATGGCACTTCTGCTTTATCAAGCTCAGCAACTTCATTATGACAGTGCTACCATGATAATGAGATTAAAGGCTAAAATCCAGTCTCTTGAAGAACAAATGAGTACTGTCAGTGATAAAAGTTCAAAATATGGGCAAATAGCTGCTGAGGAAGTCCCAAAAAGCCTCTATTGTCTTGGTGTTAGGCTTGCAAGTGAATGGTTTAGAAATCAGAATACACAGAGAAGGCTTGCTGAAAACAAATTAAGTGCCTTGAAACTTGAAGATAACAGCCTTTATCATTTCTGTATTTTCTCTGACAACATCCTTGCAACATCAGTTGTTATAAACTCCACTGCTTTGAACTCAGAACATCCGGAAAAGGTTGTTTTCCACCTTGTAACTGATGAGGTTAACTATGCTCCTATGAAGGCTTGGTTTACAATGAACGACTTCCGTGGAGTCACCGTTGAGGTTCAAAAGATTGAGGATTTCAGTTGGCTTAATGCTTCCTATGTTCCAGTCCTTAAGCAGCTCCAGGATTCAGACACTAAAAACTATTACTTTTCAGGCAACAATGATGACAACAAAACACCAATAAAGTTCCGGAACCCTAAGTATCTTTCAATGCTGAATCATCTCCGGTTTTATATCCCAGAAGTTTATCCAGCATTGAAGAAGGTAGTTTTCCTCGATGATGATGTTGTTGTCCAAAAGGATCTCTCTTCTCTATTCTCCATTGATCTGAATGGTAATGTGAACGGGGCAGTCGAAACATGTATGGAAACATTTCATCGGTATCACAAGTACTTGAATTATTCTCATCCTCTGATACGATCACATTTTGACCCTGATGCATGTGGGTGGGCATTTGGCATGAACATCTTTGACTTGGTAGAATGGAGGAATAGAAATGTCACGGGAATCTATCACTATTGGCAGGAAAAGAACATAGACCGCACTCTGTGGAAATTGGGCACTCTTCCACCCGGGTTGCTGACTTTCTATGGGTTGACGGAGCCATTAGATCCCTCATGGCATGTTTTGGGATTGGGATACACGACTGTTGACCCAAAGTTGATTTCAAAGGGGGCTGTACTGCACTACAACGGGAACTCAAAGCCGTGGTTGAAGATTGGAATTGAAAAGTACAAACCGCTTTGGGAAAAATATGTTAATTACGATCATCCTATACTCCAACATTGTAATGTCCACTGATCTGAAAAAAAGTGGTGGTTTTCTTGATCTTCCTTCCTACTCCAGCCTCAGATGTACACGAGCCCTGAGATTTTGTAAACAGGAGGTGCTTGCTAGGTTCATTTCACATTAGCGGGCTGAGTTGTTCTAGTAGCGACGACCATCTAGTCCATTGTTCTTGTAGCCTCTAGCATTGGCTATGCATGTATACACATTTTTTGGACAGTATAACTCTTAGACATTGTTTTTTAAGCCTCAGGCTAAATTATGTAACTACTTCGTCTTCTTGTATTTGTACTTCAGTCTAGATTTCGTGCATTATATCTCGCTTGTTCTAATTTTTTTTGCTAATGTTGTTCACCTCGTGGGGAATCATGTGTGTTTTCATAGCTCACTTGTTACTATTTTCATCAAGATTATTAGATTACTCACCTCTGTCAAGTTCTTTTTTTAACTCTTGAAATACATAGTACGTAAACAATGAAAATAAATATGACCGTTGAAAAAAAGAAAAAATTAAATGTAATATATCATATCATATAACTAATATATAAAGCTAAACTTTTAGCCAGGTCACAAAATAGTGACACTTGGCATTCTAACTTTTCGCCAAGTGTCGCGCCACCTTGGATAGATTTAAATAGATTCATAAGATAAAAAAAAAGTTAGTTAAAAATTCATTTTTCAATCAAATTAGGATAGAATTTTAGAATAAGATGGTTAGTTTAGAGTTTTATTTTCGATAAAATACCAAATAATAAACTTATCATAGGCCACAAGACAACATCGTATAGCATTTTAACTTTTCACCAAATGTCGTACCACGCTGGATAAATATAGATAGACTTTGTAGAAAAAAAAAAGTTAATTTAGAATTCTATTTTCAATCAATTAAATTGAATTATAATATAATTTTATCTTAAAATTCCATAAACAACCCGGGCATCGCACGGGGCACAAAACTAGTACTACCTCCGGTCCACATTTGTTGCAACTTTTGCCATTTTGGGGTGGTCCATATTAGTTGTAACTTTCCCAAATGTTGCCTTATTTAGTAAAATTTTATAGGTAAAATTACAATTTTACCCTTACTTTATGTTTTAACCACATATATTAAACAACTAACCTAATATATTTACACTTCCTAACTGATTAATTAGGTTAATCTCCCCCACCAAAAAAAATCCCCAACTGTTTAAATTCTTCATCATTCCAACCAACGCAATTGAATGCTCCTACATTCAATTGATCTGATGAATATGGTTGAGTACATTTATTCCGGAGAATTCTCCAGAATAAACCCCCCAAACCCTAGTTCTTCTTTTTCTTGCTCCTCACTATTCGCCGAATTTGATCTCCTCTCTCTCTCTCTAGATCGCACTCTGTGTCTCTCTCATCTCCATCTCTACTTTCTCCCTTCTTCAATCTTTGTTGTTTTTGTTGAGTCCCAGTATGTCTTCTTCGAATGACAAAGATCTGGATCTTTTTTGCCATGAGACCCTTGAAACGAGTGGAAGTAAGCGGCGATCTGGCCGTGTGACGTACAAGCCCCAACGAGGAACGGGTAACATGAAACCCGTTCGTCGTGCTGCTGTTATTGCTAGGAGGAAGATCCATGGTGCTAAATTGGCTGAATATGTGAGCGATGAGGAGGAGAAGGTTGTCCCTGTGTCTACGGCTAAACAGGAACCACTAGTTGAGGTGGTTCCTCTGGACGTGGTGGTGCCTGAGGTGGCGGCCGAAGTTGTTGAGGCCAAGCTTTCCGCCGCTGGATCTGGTACTAGGGAGTCTAACCAAGTAGAGGTGGAGGTGGTTGAGGTGGCTAAGCCACTTGAGTCCCAGGAAGAAGGTGTAGGGCCTTCCACCGGTGCTAAGCGGATCAGATCTGGTTCACCTGGAGGGATGACGAGGGAGGAGGTGATCGAGGCGTACCTGCAGATCTACTACCCTCAATTCAACCCTCCTCCTAATTGATTCAGCAGCGTAAAGTCTATAAACCCTAATTTTTTTCCATAATCTATTGTTTGTTTGTTCTGTAATCTTGTTGATTGTGTTGTTGGTATATTGTTTCATCTGTTGTTTGGTATAGACCTAATTTTGTTTTTTGTTGTGGTATGTGGTATAAACACTAAATTTTTGAGTCCTCTATTTTGTTTGTTTAAACCCTACTTTGTATGCGATTGGATATGGTTGTTGATGTGAATGTAATGTTGGATGTTGTTGGGATAAGATGACTGTTTGTTGGTGAGAATTTATACGGGGTTGTATGCTGTGTGTTTTCGGTTCTGTGTTTAGTGGAATGTATCTATGTTAGTTGTTGTTGGTAATTGGTGGAACTAAGTTGTGGTAGTATCCTTGATGCATAGTACTCATGCCATTAGTTGCAAGTCCCCTGTTTGTTAATGTTGAAGTTGGTGTTCCTATGCATTTGAGTCCCTTACTTGCAATGAGTCCCCCCCTATGTTGGTGTGAAGTGCATGTTTTATTTCCATATGATGATGGGACTCACCTGATAGCTACTTGGGTGGTCTGGATGCTCCTGATACCTCTTTTAGAGGTTTGATGTTGTGGTACCAACACTCACTAAAGATTTGAGTGAATAAACACCCATTCCGATGGAAATACTAGTTAATGATATAAATGTAATTGTTGTGATATTACATGTGTGGTTAGACAAAAGGTGTACCTAGACTAATTACATGACTGCCTACAACATATTTCAATTAATATTTACCAAAATGACACATAACCTAGACATAAACTCACTCAAAATGTTGTTTGAATATTAAAAGGTTATGTGTGGCAGTCATATCTTGAGTCCTTCTTCCATTTACGTTCTTATGTTTGTGTGCTTCAGTCTGCATCCACTTCCATGTGTCCATGATCATCTACTATATCTGTGACTGAGTCTAAAAATTGAACAACTTCACCAATCAGATTCCTATCAGCTTGTAATAATTGTGGTAGTAGACCTTGACTATCCAAACTTCTCTTCTTCATGTGAGGGGGAGAGAAGTTGTTCCCACCTTGCTTCTCTAGTATCTTTATCAAGCATGATTGTAGTGTAATACATGTGTACTTGTTCAAAAATGGATCAAACTCTTCAAAAGCTCTTGCAACTTCTTGTATGAGCTCATCTAGATTCCTTGGGAATGATTGGTATTGTAGTGATTGAATGACACTAAACAAACCCAAATCAAGAACATTTGTTTCTAGTGAGTGTTGATGAGTACATAGATGAAGTTATTGATGAGTACATTCAATCTCAATATGCATTGGATGATGAGTTCATAGAAGGTGAATTCTTCCCAGAAGAATATCCATGGTGGTACGATTCAGATGGTGAAGAACACCAAGAACAACAAGGCAATGGTGATGGGTATGAAGGAGATGATGATGCAAACATTGATGAGGCACAACCACAAAACAGAGTAAACAAGGAATTGACTGTGGAACAAAAAAGAAATCTTGTTGATGAGATAATGTTGCACATGGAGGGGGACTCACTTCCAAGAGGTTTCTTAGCCAATTTGTCTAGAAAACATTCAGTGCACAAATCCACAACAACAAGATATTTCAAATTTATCAAGCAATCTCTAGCTCAAGGTATTCCAGTTGTTGAAAACAAAAAATTGGGTAGGACAAGACCCAAACCAAAGGTGTACACAGATGAATTTTTAACTTCATTTCCACTTTACAAGAGTGGGACTGAAAGAGGATATGCCGCAGCCCTTAAAATTCCCAAAACAGCACTGCGCAGACTAAGGCAACAAGGGAGACTCAGGACACACACCAGCACAAATCATCCAGCTCTAACAGGGAAGCATAAAATACCAAGACTTAAATGGGTACTAAGTCATATTGATCCAATTCCAGCATAAGGGGACCCAAAATTCAGAAACATGCAGCAATGGATACATTTGGATGAAAAATGGTTCTACATTAATCCAGAGACAAGGACATTTTATTTGCTGCCCACAAAGGATGATCCATATAGGGCACAACAATCAAGGAGATTCAAGATCAAAGCAATGTTCATGGGAATGATGGGGAAGCCCTTATTTGATGAGCACAACAACATGGTACATGATAGAAAATATGGACTTTTTCCTTTTGTAAAGTATGAAATGGAAAAAAAAGCAAAAACAGAGATTCAGGGACTCTAGAGACTAAGGCACTTCAAAGTATCACTAAAGAATGCATCAGGGATATGCTACTCACACATGTCATTCCAACAATCTATGAGAAGTGGCCAGAACAACTACCAAAGGACATCATCATCCAATGGGATATTGCAAGACCTCACCAAGTTCCAAGAGATGAAGAATTTCAGGCAGCATGTAATGCACATGGATTCAACATTCAATTCATTTTTCAACCAGCTCAATCACCAGAAACAAATGTTCTTGATTTGGGTTTGTTTAGTGTCATTCAATCACTACAATACCAATCATTCCCAAGGAATCTAGATGAGCTCATACAAGAAGTTGCAAGAGCTTTTGAAGAGTTTGATCCATTTTTGAACAAGTACACATGTATTACACTACAATCATGCTTGATAAAGATACTAGAGAAGCAAGGTGGGAACAACTTCTCTCCCCTCACATGAAGAAGAGAAGTTTGGATAGTCAAGGTCTACTACCACAATTATTACAAGCTGATAGGAATCTGATTGGTGAAGTTGTTCAATTTTTAGACTCAGTCACAGATATAGTAGATGATCATGGACACATGGAAGTGGATGCAGACTGAAGCACACAAACATAAGAACGTAAATGGAAGAAGGACTCAAGATATGACTGCCACACATAACCTTTTAATATTCAAACAACATTTTGAGTGAGTTTATGTCTAGGTTATGTGTCATTTTGGTAAATATTAATTGAAATATGTTGTAGGCAGTCATGTAATTAGTCTAGGTACACCTTTTGTCTAACCACACATGTAATATCACAACAATTACATTTATATCATTAACTAGTATTTCCATCGGAATGGGTGTTTATTCACTCAAATCTTTAGTGAGTGTTGGTACCTCAACATCAAACCTCTAAAAGAGGTATCAGGAGCATCCAGACCACCCAAGTAGCTATCAGGTGAGTCCCATCATCATATGGAAATAAAACATGCACTTCACACCAACATAGGGGGGACTCATTGCAAGTAAGGGACTCAAATGCATAGGAACACCAACTTCAACATTAACAAACAGGGGACTTGCAACTGATGGCATGAGTACTATGCATCATTGATACTACCACAACTTCGTTCCACCAATTACCAACAACAAC